TAAGAACCAAGATACTCATGTAATGGTACAAGATCCCAATGATGAATGTAACTGTATTTTATACCTAAAATGTACCAATAAACTTAAGGGGGAAAAAAAAGAAAAAAAAAAGAAATACAATTCATCAGTGTATCTAATGTGGCACAAAATAAGTAACTTATCAATCACCTAATTACATTAAGACAATATTAAACTCCCACACTATTGCATACAAGAATGTACAGAATTATGTGACCACACTTATCCTTAAAAGTGAATATGAAAATATTTACTCCAGAGATCTACTGTGAGTTTACTGTACTTATGTTTCAGGGCAGTGATGGCAAACCCATTAGAGACCAAGTGACCACACTGCAATCCAAAACCTGCTTATTTATTGCCAAGTGCAAACACTGCAATTAAACTTGAATGCTTTGCTGCTGGAGTGATACTGGAGTCACTTGGCTCACGTGCTGACAGAGGGCTCTGCAGGTCCACAGCAGCACATGGACCATAGGTTTACCATCACTGCTTTAAGGTATCTTCTCTCTGGTGTGGATTTTATGGAGACATAATTGACACCATGTTTTTATATGATTTGCCTGTACAGGTCTTCACTATGTGAGATATTTTCAAAGGATTTTTGAAACTATGTGCTATAGTCGAAAACACTGTGCATTCACAAGGATTTGATCCAATATGTATTCTTACATGTAGAATAACTGAAGACTTGTGTACAATCCTTTTAATGGTTTCTCACAATATTGTGTTTGTAATACAAACACAAAAGTGACTAGAGGTGTTCCCACAAGATATACATTGCTATGAGTTGCTCGGATATGCAATGCCATGTGGAAGGTCACGTAGAAATGATTCTCACATTTTAAGTTTCTGCATATTTTCTGAGGTTATAGGAATCACAAAATGCCTTCTCATTTAATCTGCATAGGGTTTCTTTTCAGTGTTAGTTCCTTCACGTATTTTAAGGTAAGTGGGAGAACTGAACATTTCTCACATTGATTACATACATATGGCTTCTCTCTGATGTGAATCTTTCATGTACTGAATGCATTGAGAAAAATAAGACTTTTCCCACATATCAGATTCTCTCCACTCTGAATTCTTTCATGTAAGTAGTGATACCTGTATGTACAGATTTTTATACTGCTTTTAAAGCAGGACTCTGCTGTGAGTCCTTTCATGTCAATGCAAGGGATTTAAATTTAATTTCCTTTCTTAATTAATATCTATGATGATTACTGGAATAACTGAAAGCTTTTCCACTTCATTTACATACACAGGATTGTTCCCCACTGAGTTTTCTTTCATGTAATTGATTATGCCAGTGTGCATGAATACATTCCGACATGGCTTACAAATAAAGCATTTCTCCCCAGTAAGTCCTTCCATGTATTTGACAAGTACTGTGTGTTGAAAGCTTTCACATACATCACTTCTCAGCCTTTTGGCTAAGATCAAGTGAAAGCTTTCACACATCACTTAGATATGTAGGGTTTCTCTCCAGTGTGAGTTAGTTCACATTTATAAATAAAGTATTAGTGAAAGATTTTCCAGTGTCTATATGCATAGGTTTTTCTTTAGTGAGCTCTTTCATGGCTCTGAATAAAATTGTGAGAATTAACTTTTTCCACATTATTAACACACCCATTTATCTGCACTACTGTGATGTCTTTCTTGGAATGTAACATATTTGGATATACTGAAGGCTTTCATATCTTGCTTACATACAAAGGGCTTCTCTTCAATGTTAGTTTATTCAGTGCAATCAGAGTACAATTTTCCACATTGCTTATATTCATAGGGTTTCTCCACAGGATTTGTCTTTGCATGTGTCTGAAAGTGCTGGAAGTCAGTGCAGGTTTTCCTATGTTTGCTAGTTAGACAGATTCACTTGAAATTCCTGATATTCACTTCATTTGAGTCCAGTGTTAGCTCTGATTGACAAGGAAGGCTTTTACAAGGTCTTATACCAATGGCTTTCATGTACACAATAGTATCTGGAGTCCAAAAAATATTTCTTCATGTCGATACTAAAATATATATTGACAGCATTTCTCTACTACTTCACTTCTATAACGAAAGAAAAACAAACCCAATCACATTTAACAGTGTCTTTGTATTACTGATTTACCACGAGGAGATCTGGTCTGATGCCCCCAAGAATATTTGATCATTAATTTACTGTACACTGGATAATGGCTTGAAAACAGCTTTTACCAAAGCAGTGGTTTTCATTTGAGTGTTTATAATTGACGTTTGCAAAACATAACACTTGCTTTCACTTTGAGGAACTGATATGTATGTATACTATATATTATTTTTGATATAATTCCTCCATGACTATCCCCTCCCTTCTGAACCTCTTCACTCACTCCATAATGTCTGCCTCTTTCTTCTTGACCACGTCTCCTTTATTTTACTTTTAATTCATATTTTGGGTGTTTCATACATAATATAATGTGATATTAAAATCTGTGTCTGACTTAACACAATATCATGGACTCAAGATCAATTCATTTTTTGGCAAATGACATCATTTTTTATGGCTGAATTCCATTACATATACACTTTTTTTTTCCCAGTGGAGATTGAATTCAGAGATTCAGCACTGAACTATATCCTCAGCCTTATTCACTTTTTATTTTGAAACAGTGTCATCAATCATTAAGGTGCCCAGGCTGAGCATGAATGTATGATCTTTCTTCCTCAGCTTCTCAGTGTGACAGGATTCTAAGCATGTACCATCCTGCCTGGACTGTCCTCTATTTTCTTAAGCTACTCATCAGTGAATGGGTATCTACCCTGTTTCCAGAGCTTAGCTATTGTAAGTCTTGCTGTTACAAACATGGGTATTCATGTGTTACTATAATACAATTACTTCAAAGTTGAGAGGAATTTAGCCAGAAGTATAGATGATAAAATTTCTATTTTTATTTTTTGAGGAAACTACACATATTTCCATAGATGCTTTCACATCAACAATATAGGTTTTTGTTTTGGTACCAGGGATTGAACTCAGGACCTTGTGCTTGCAAGGCAGGCACCAGAACCACTGAGCTAAATCCCCAGCCCAACATTAACAACATAGGAAGGTGCATTCTAATACTTTTTATTTTGGTACTGGGGATCGAACTCAGGACCTTACACTTATGAGGCAGGCAGCAGAACCACTGAGCTACATCCCAGCCCGCACTCTAATACTTTGAAACATGAATGAACTGATAGATTTGGTGGATTATTTGAATATAGCTATTATAATAGCGGCATTCATTTGGATTTTGAATACTTCCACAAGGTTAGCAACTTTGCAAATACTGAATGTGTATCATAAGACCTCTACTTATGAACATTTCAGTTGTAAACTTTCAGAGATGTGACAGGACCTTGCATTTGGAACATTCATAGATGTGAACAAATTACAGTAGCAGCTCCCATGTCTGTTGGATACTGTCATGTTGCGTGGCTCTGTGCTGACTCGACAGTGTGAAGTGTGAAGTACTGTCAGGGACTTGCTGTATTTTTGTGTGTGTTTGGTTTTTTTATGCTTTACATAGAATATTTGTGTCAGGTATATAAGATTTGCTTGTCAGAATTACAAATGAATCCAACTTACCAATATTCTCCTGGAACAGAACTTGTTTGTAAGTTGGGGACTTTACCACATTTAAATACATACAGCATTCCTTACATAAGGTGTTTGATATGATAGTGGTCTTCAGAAAATATTCATGTTTGTATAATTAGATATCCTTAATGTGGCTTCTAGGATAAAAGAAATTTTATTATACACACATATGCTCAATGTCTAAATGAAATTTCATACAAAGTTTTTATAACCTTGAGCTTGGAAAGTAATGTTTATTCTGATATATTAGATAATGTTATTTGTAGCAAATACCAGCGTTTTCTAAATTTCAAATGCTGGACTATTTCAAATATTAAATTTTCTAATTGTAGATACTCAACCGGTATATATCTTTAGAGAAATTTTGTGAGACTGAAGAAATGTGAACCAGGCCTACTTTGTACAGTTGTTTGGTTTTAATATTTCTCTTCACATATTGACTCGAGGAACATTTTTTTTTTGTGACTTCAAATTACCTTAGATGTCTCCTGCATTTTTTGTACTCATCTTCAATTTGGCCATCATTCCAAGTTTCTTTCTAAAGTATAGAGAAACAGAAATATAATGATGAGTTATCACATTACATAAAAATTAAAAGAGATTCCAATTAGATTCAAAGGACAATGTGACCATGCATGGCACAGTCATCAGAATGTTTCCATATTCCACTTAAGGAAACTGCACTGATAAGCAACAACCAATGTTCTCTAATTGCATAAATGAAAAAAAGGAAATGATCCTTACCTACAGAAGCCACATTCCTAAAGGTTTTCCACATCACATTTCTTTAGAACTTCTTCTGAGGTGGATCAAGGAAAGCCCACTCCTCCATGGTGAAGTTCAGTGCCACATCTCCCTAGGTCACTGCCTCCTAAATCAGCAGACATATATCTAAGAAGATAGAGACTCACATGAAACATCTCAAATCTACTCATAACAAGCTTAAATGAGGCTGAGTTCTCCAAATGTTTACTTCATGTCTTGGTCATCAAACATTTACACATCTTACACAGGAATTTGATGCTGGATTAGAATTCACTGCTAAGGCAACAGCAGAATGGGACCACTCGTTTTCCTACTGGTTAACACCAGTTTTCTCTATACACTGTCGCAATATTATGATTCATAAAGGAAGCCTAGGTGATCAGAATCCAGTAAAAAACTCAGGTAGAAAAATATCTAATGAATTGCTCTGACATCATAAAAAATACCTTTTCTCAACTTACTTAGGAAATTGATCACTCTCTTCTCAGACTGTATTTAGACAGCATTTTCGAAGTTGAACCTGGTTTCATAAAAAATCTTGAGACACTATGGAAAATTAATGAATGACAACTTAAACTGTTAATAAAAATATTAGGTTTTATTAGAGAATGTCTAAGAATTAAATCAGATCATGGAAAATGTATTGCCTTACAGCTCAAGGACAAAGAAATGGTCACCAGTCACAGAGATATGAAAAATTTCTAAGGTGCCATAAGGGAGACAAATAGGGGATTGGATATGATCAAAACATAAATGTAATAAACCCCAATATTTTTTAAATTAACAAGCATTAATAAAAGGAAAAATGGTAGAAAAACTTTTGTCATATCCAAATCTCACCTTTGATTTGGCAAAAACTATGTTTAGTATAACAAAAGTTTTACAGTGTTCAATAACCAGAAAAGGTGACACATTGCTTAATATATAGGAAAAAGATTCGAAATCTATTAGAGAGATTCAGTGGCTCACATAAAAATAGAATATTGATTCATTTAGAACTCTTACTGTACAAAATGGCAGAAATCATCATCTGTTCAATACAGGAGGCAGGAACAAACGGGTACATACACTGAAACATGCACTTTACTCTTCACAGTCCATGTCTAATAATTAAGTTACACCTTGAAATGAGAAAGATAAACTTGAATACTTTGAGAATTATCTGTCAATATCATTTGGAAGTGAAAAAATTATTTCCCCAGAAGAAAATCATGAATCCATCAGAATTGGAGAAAGTTAAATCTATGTAAATAAAGGGAGGTAAAAGAGACAAGAAATTAGAAATATGTATTTGTACTCTACAATAAAAAGAATTTGTGTACTTGGTGAAAATAAATGAACACATAAAAATGAATAAAACATATATAATTCAAGAGAAAATACCAACTATAAACAAGATCTATGAACTTGGTTGAGGACATAGCCAAAGAAAATGGAATGGTAGACTCTACTAGGAAGCAGAACAAATGATGAAATGACACACTCCACAGCCGTAACCTTTGGAGTACACCAAAATCTACAGACCAGTGACTTTATTCCAATGTCCAGAAAAAATAGTGTTGTTGTTTCTGGAGACAAATGATTATTTTCACATCTATAAAAAATAAACATGAAAAAACTTCAACCATGTGACCACTATAACAGACGAGGAAGCCCTTTGCCCCTCAGACAAGAGCACATGTGAAATACAGTGAGACGAAGTAACTACATGCAACACACTTCTGTGCAATTTCCATACTACTCACTCACTGAACATTCCAAGGTTCAAAATGGAGAGAATACTGCATAGTGACAATGACACATGGTATATTTAGGAAAAATAGCCAAAGAAGTGATAGTGGTAATCCAAGGGGAAGACGAGGATAAGTCAAATAGGATTTATTTCACGTGGTTCTCTTAACCACTGCCCAAGGCTCATTTATAAGTTTCTGAGTGTTCCCAGGATATTTATATTGTTATTAAGTCTCACCAAAATCTTTTTAAAAAATAACATTTATTGAAAAATATTTACACAATAAATTACCATGTGGAAAGACGCTATAGGTTTATGTATGTTTGCCCACATTCTAACATGGAAAAAATGAGAGAAAACTTACAGTTTGGGCACAGTAAACAAAACAGCACAGATGCAATCATGAGGCCTCCAGACACCCAGCAACCAGTGGCCTGACTGGCTGCTGGACATCAGGAAGAGTGTAGATTAGAAACTCACAGAAAGAAAACACAGACATGCAAGCTGAAGAGTATTCTATTTATGATGTAAAATTCTATGCTATCCTTGAAAGGTGTGGCTTTATGTTCACATTTGTGAACATATGGCAAAGAAAACTAGGAAGACATGCAAAGGAATACTATTCCCATGACTGAGGACTCAGGTATATCCGAGCAGAACTCTCAACCATGCACCAAATATCTTGACATAGTGAAAATAAAAATCCTGGCCTGCGGGGTTACTGAAGTTGGTTAGGGTTAAATTTTTCATATGGCTTACACAGAATAGATTTCTCTCCTGTGTGTGTCCTTTCAGGTCAGTGCAAGTCATTTTATGACTTCCTCTTAGTTTTTTAAAGTCTACGATATTACCACTATAACAATGCTTTCCCATATCTCTTACATACCCAGCGTTTAACAGTACCAGTGTATACTGAGTTTTTCCTTATTGCTTACATATATAGGGTTCATCCCCAGTGAGTTTTTTCATGTCTTTGACAAACACTATGTGCTGAAAGCTATCCTACATTGTTTGCATAGATTGGGTTTCTGCCCGATGTGTTTTTTTATGGCTTTCATAATTGCAGTGTTTGCTGAGTTTTCCCACATTACTTACATACATAGGGTTCCTGCCCAGTGTGAGTTCTTTCGTGTATTCGACAATACCTCTGTGTTGTAAAACCTTTCCCACATTGGTTACATACATAGGGTTTTACTCTACTGTGAGTTCTTTCATGTTTTCGACAACTACTCTGTGTGGTGAAAGCTTTCCCACATTCTTTACATACATAGGGTTTCTCCCCAGTGTGAGTTCTTTCATGAACTTGACGATTACTATGTGTGCTGAAAGCTTTCCCACATTGCTTACATACATA